ATCAGTGATGACTTTTAACATTGTTTCAATGATAGTTTGATTGATGTTTTAACATTTCAATGTTAATTTAACTTAGGTCTGCTATCTGGAAAAGAACTCATTTTTAAAAATGCAAAAAACTTATGAATGTGCCACTTGAATTTGGTATCACATGTAATTGGCATGTTATGGAATTTAACTATGGCAAATAAGTGAGAGGAGATGGAAAGCTATGATGTCTACACGTTTTCCTGAAACATTTGCAAGGTCAATTCTTTCTTGCATAAATATAGTGGAAAAGAAGAAAAAGTATAACAAAATGGTTTGTTGTTCTTTTTATTTTGTTTTCTTTCCTTTATTGTTGTTTTTTGCCTTATTTTTGTTTCTGCACTATATTTATTTCTTGTAATATTTGATTAAGTAAATAATTTTTTAAAAATTTCTTTTAAATTATGTAGCAGACATGTATTTGAATAATTTTACATAATAATTATATTATTTATAATATTATTAATAATATTAATAATTTAACATATAGGTGTGCATATATGTACCCATATATGTACTTATAATATAGGAAAACAGCCAATTGTATATGTGTCACATATATCAAAAACCTATATTAAACCATATGTTTATATAGGTTCTTTCCATGTAGGCGTGTACCAGACCCAACTCACAACTCACTTTTCTTTTCTTTTTTTCAGAAGAAGAGTCCACAGCCACAATAACAAGATCATTGAGCTGTCCCCTAATTGTGGTCAGCTACATGTTTAGTCTCTTATGTGCTAAACATTATGTAGCCTAAGGAAGCAGCCCTGACTCTGTAGTTTATATGAAGGTATGTTTTTACATTTTTAAGTTTATTTCATTTTTACAAGATAAGTAAGGTGATACATGTTTGTTGTATTTACAACAGGAGCATGCTGAGTAACTATCCAGAAAGTAGGTCCAAAGCAGAAAAAAGGGCACCAAGCAGAAACATACCATCTAAACTCCTTCGATTCCTGTCAGACCAGAAAGACTTTCAGAATCCTTGGAAGATTTAAAGGTAATTAAGCACACCGGTAACACTTTATAATAACTAAACACTACTGATTAATTTATTAAGCATTAGCAAAAAGTTCTGTTAAGCATTGACTCTACATTAATAGACCTTAGTATACAGTTTATAACTACAGCTGCAAATGCTGTAATTTTGACTTATAAGCACATCTATAATGTGCTTAATTATTTTGTTTTCATATTTTGTTAATGATCAATTTTTCATTCTAAATTTAGTATCGCATTATTTACAAACCAGTGATTTAAGAATAGTGTATTTTTTTTTCTAATGGTGTATTTTTTTTCTAATCATTCAGAATGTTTAAGTAAATGGTTAATAAACTATTCAAACTAACATTTAAATATCTTATTATTCAGGCATATAGTAATAGTTGGGCAGCACAGTGGCTAGCACTGTCGCCTCACAGCAAGAAGGTCTCAGTTGGTAATTCTGTATGGAGTTTGCATGTTTTCCCTGTGTTGCCGAGGGTTTCCTCCGGGTGCTCAGGTTTTCCCGACAGTCCAAAGACATGCGCTATAGGGAAATTGATTAACTAAATTGGCTGTAGTGTATGAGTGTGTTTGTAAATAAGTGTGTATGGGTGTTTCCAAGGGCGTACTCATGCTATGCAGAGTTACCTTGAAACTGGAAGCGTGCTTGTCTCCCCGACGCTTACGTCATCGATAATGTGCTGTTCAGTTTAACAAGTGCTCTCACTCAGCACAGTGGAGATTTCTTTATATTGTTATATCGTTTTAGTTGTTTAAAATGCAGTGACACGCAGTCAAATATTTCGCCGAACAGATCAGCTACTTTTGACGCTCATAAACAATCAAAGTCATCGTGCTGCAGGTACTAGGAGGTTTGCTAAAGGTGCAGCTGTTGTGCAGTGAGGGGTTTGTGTCTTTTGTGACAGTTTGCAAGGGACGGTTTGATTTGGATAAATTAACCACTATTACTGTTCAATGAACGCAAACTGTCGTTAATTATTAAAGACGCAAACCCTTTACTGCACCACAGCTGCGCCCTTTAGCAAACCTCCTATTCCTGCAGCACAAGGAATTTATGAACATCAAAAGTGGCTGATCTGTTCGGCAAAATATTTGACTGCGTGTTACTGCATCCCAAACGACTAAAACAAAATAATTTAAGAATTCTCCACTGTGCTGAGAGAGAGCACTTCTTAAACTAAATGGGGCATCATCGATGATGTAAGAGTGCTCAGGCTCGAATGCAATGTGAGTGCGGGACGTCAGGGGAGACGGTAGGGAGGACAAGCGTGCTTCGGCCTGGTTCAAGGCAACTGTACATAGTGCGAGTACACACTATGCTGAAGGAAAATGCATGAATGAATAGTAATAGTTATACTTGTATATAAAGTATAAAAAAATAAGTATATAAAGTATATACAATACTTATTTTAATAAGTGCTTTTGTTAACTTCATCCAGTTTTGTAGCCTAAAGTGAGGATTGTTTATGCTTTGTAAATCCCCTTATAAATCACAATTAAAGGTTCAGTTATATTCTAAGAATGAAATTCATTTTATTGTATTAAATGAAAAATAAATCTTATCTAAAATAAAATTACTGTACAGTTTAAACCTAGCTAAATAACACTGAAATGTTGCATCGTAATGTATCATTAAATTATTTTATTGTTGTTTTATCCAGTTTTATCTTATGTTTTGGCACTCCTGCTATTCAGCAAGGTTTCATATTTACAGTAATTACATTTTTTAGATAAGACTGTAATGATTTATTGTTAATTTAATACTGAGCCTTTAACTGTCGTTTATAAGGATTTATAAATCATAAATAATCCTCACTTTAGATTAGGCCACCAAACTGGGAGAAGTTTTGTAAATAATGCAATATAATATATATATATATATATTTTTTTTTTTTATTATAAAAATAGTCATGTAAAATCAATCATTAAAGTTTGTTAACACAATTATTAAGCACATTATAAATGTGCTTAAGTCAAGATTACAGCATTTGTAGCTGTATTCAAAACCGACTACTAACATCTATTAATGTAGAGGCAATGATTAACAGAACTATTGACATGCAAGGAATCACCCCAGTTGTAAGTGAAAAGTCATTAGTAATATTTTTTTTTGTTTGTTTGTTTTACAGCCATTGAAGTATCAGTATTAGAGAGGAAGAAGACCCAGTTGTATCGTCTGTTTCCTGCCATCTTGCAGTTAACCTGGTTTCTTAATGTAAAGTACTTGTAATTTGCCCACTTGCCCTTAATTATCTTAAAGCTAACATTTAAAACTAATTTGCTATGAGATTATTTGCCAAGACTTCTCACGGTGCGATTCACATGTCAATATGTATTATTGTGTGTATAACTAGCTATTTGGAATTCAAATGATTTGTATTCATTAAAAAATCTGTTTTAATTGCAAAGTTGTTTTTGTACTAATCATTGCAAGTTCACAGATAACAAACTATTTACTGCTTCTCTACACATACAGTATAGAATAAATGTTTTGTTTTACTATTGTAAACCATTAATAGTGTATTTCCCATATGTATATGTTTGTCCTTACCAATTGCCATTTCTATGCTGCTTGAAGAGCATTAAATTAGTAAAATAATTATTTTTTACAGTAGGTATCCCATTAAAACAAAGAATCTGTTCATTTTTTCACTGTAGGTATAGTATTAAAACCCAAAAAAACTCCTCTTTTTACAGTAGGTATACTATTAAAACACAGAATCTGTCTGTTTTTTTACAGAAGGTATACTATTAAAACACAGAATATTTCCGCTTTTTTACTGTTGGTATACCCTTAAAAACACAGAAAATAACCGTTTTTTTTATATAGAAAACCCTTAAATTACTATAAAATGGTTGGTTATTTTACAGTAGTTAAACTGTCAAAAAACGGATATTTTTTAGTTTTTTTAATGTTGACACACTGTTAATTAACAGAAGTTTTCCGTTTTTAATTTACGGTAAAATATTTGTGTAATGAGCTGCCAGTACATTTTACCGTTTTTTTACGGAATTTTTTTTTAGAGTGTACAGTACACATTCTGTTGAATCAAATCAATACTGAACTCTGTGTGAGAATCATATTTCAGCCTGTCAATCAAGATAAAGCAAACCTCGATTCATATTGGGAAAGCAAGATTTCACAAACAAACCCATTTATATGCAAATCTGCATCATCTTTTCTGCCCTAAGGACACTGTTTGGAAACAAAAGTTAGCCGAAACTATAATAGTTATAACTTTTTCCCTCCGATATATTTATCTGGGTTTCTAGTTTATTTTCTGATTTATTTTTGTCAGATTCTGTAAGTCTTAGCTTCCAAAACAAACTGTTAAAAAAAGTTTCATTTTCACTGTTGAGGAAAAGGGGCGTTGCAGTGGCTCAGTAGGTAGTGCTGTCGCCTCACAGCAAGAAGGTCGCTGGTTCGGGCTGTTTTGCTTTCAGATGTTTAAACAGAGATTAAAGCAAAACACTGCAGGCAAAATCTGTTTTTATGAAGCAGAAAATTTTTTAATTGTTTTCTTTTTGACTATTTACATAGTTTTTTTTCCAGTTGTTTAACATCCACATTAATTTATTAATATTTTTGCTAAATCGTGTCCTAAAAAACTACACTTATTAAACTTTCCTGAAAGCAATAATGTATCCACATCTGTATTCAAGCATTCAGAGCAGCGCATCACAAGGAGCGCCACTGTCTTGTGCTGCGTAAAAGCGCACGCCATCCAATCCATTGACACTTGGCTGTATAAAAAACGCAGCGAGCTGTCAGTGTGCGTGAAGCTAAGGACGGTCAACAGATTTGTCAGATAAATATCATTATAACGCAAGGTGATAATACCCCTAGATTTAAGATATATTTGGTGCCTGTTACAGCTGCAATGCGCACGCAAATAGCGACGATTTTATCCAAGGAGGACTATGATGACAATGACATACAATGGAGATGGGAGAAGTTAGGATATTGAGCCTCCTGAGTGATTAGCTGAACCAGAATGGACAATCTACATTAAAAAGCAGCAATGGAAAAGACTTCTGACATCGAGCGCGCCGAGTACGCGTCTGGAAGTCTCCCGTTAACAGAATACAACGCGAGCTTCACGGTGAACAGGACTAATCTTTCGTGGACTGACTTTCAGGATCTCGGAGATAAACCCGACTTCATGGGAGACGGATCTGCGGTGCTGAGAATAATCATCTCTATTATTTACTCGGTCGTGTGCGCACTGGGTTTAATCGGAAACATCCTCGTCCTGTATCTCATGAAGTCTAAGCAGGCATGGAAGAAGTCCTCCATCAACCTGTTTGTGACCAGTTTGGCGGTCACGGACTTTCAGTTTGTTTTGACGCTTCCCTTTTGGGCTGTGGAGAACGCTATGGATTTCACGTGGCTGTTTGGGAAGGCGATGTGTAAGATAGTTTCTTATGTCACGGCGACGAACATGTACGCCAGCGTGTTTTTCCTCACGGCGATGAGCGTCGCGAGATACTGCTCCGTGGCTTCGGCGTTGAAAAGTAAGAGACGTCGGCTGCGTTTCTCCGCGCAATGGATGACTGTCATTATTTGGATAGCCGCGGTGGGTGCCGCTCTGCCGAACGCGATTTTCTCAACGACAGCCACGGTTTCTAACGAGGAACTGTGTCTGGTGAAATTCCCCGACCGAAGCGGAGACGCACAGTTTTGGCTGGGTTTATATCACGCGCAAAAAGTACTTCTGGGTTTCCTCATTCCGTTCGGAATAATCAGCATCTGCTACCTGCTTCTCCTGCGCTTCATAACTAACAAAAACATCAACACCTCCAGCGCTAAAAGGCGCTCCAAAGTGACCAGGTCTGTGACAATCGTGGTTCTGTCTTTTTTCCTGTGTTGGCTGCCGAATCAGGCGTTAACAGCGTGGGGTATCTTGATAAAACTCAACGTGGTACACTTCAGTTACGAGTATTATACCACACAGGTGTATATTTTCCCTGTCACGGTGTGTTTGGCACATTCAAACAGTTGTCTTAATCCCATTCTGTACTGTTTGATGAGGAGGGAATTCAGAAAGGCGTTGAAAAAGCTGTTTTGGCAAATCACATCACCTTCTGTGACGAACATGAGACCTTTTACCGCCTCCACGAAGCCCGAGCAGGACGAGCAGGCGCCCGCGCTGATTCCTCTCAGTCCGGCGGAGCCCGCGCTCGTCTTTTATCCTCCAGGAGTTGTCATTTACAACGGAAGAAACGACCTTCTGCCTAACAGCACATAATGAAAAGTTAATGGGGAGAATCCAGATTCCAAACAGAACGGCTAACTTTGTTTCATTGCCAATTAACTAAAGTTGCTGTCAAAGAAATCACCGCGCAGAGTAAAATTCGGTCTGGACACTTCTGAAATGGACGGGTGCTCCTGTCACTCGAAACACTCCTTAATAATGCTTATTGGTGTGTTCACACTTGGCAGAGGATTAAGAAGAACTCCGTGGTTCGAGTAAATCATGATATGAACAATAGTGTGCACGTGCACCAAACAAGAAGACCGAAAACCGAAGTTAAGCCGTGGTCCACCTCCAAACCAGCGTTGGTGTGGTTTGAATAAAAACTAATGCAACTTGGACAAAAGACATTTAATGAATGAACATTAAATAAAAATACTATATAAATGATATAATGTTAAAGCACACATTCTAACATTGTGCCAAATCATCCATTACTGTTCAGTAAAGATTTGGAAAATGTCATCTCCTTTCACCAGATCTTTGATTGTGTATGCAATAAATATGCAATTGTGTATGAAATGTATTTATAAGGTCTTGAGTTCTCAAACTGATGTAAATAAATCATTTGCACATACAAGTGCAATGGGCACGTAACATCGTTTGGAATGTGTGGTAGGCTAGCTTAAATTAATTTTCTAAATTTTACTAGGCTTATTAGGTAGGGGTTTGAGTAAAATTTTATTATTTTATTCTGTAAACGTCTGCAAAAATTTCTTTCAAATTCCAGATAAAAATATAATCATTTAGAGCTTTTAAAAACATATTTTCAGAAAGGACCAGCTTTTCAAAAAATAAATAAATCAGGGTTACAAAATACTGATATTATAAAGGGCGCCTATTATGAAAATTATCTTATGTAAGCGTTGTGTCAGTCATATTGGGATAATATAAAGAAAAAAAGGTCAATTTCATTTAATTTTCTGACGTCAAAATAGAATCCAAATCTCTCCCATTTTTAGGCCCACCGCAACGTGACATAGGAGTGAGGTTTATCTTCCAACCAAATAATTGACAGCCATGTTTTAACATGTCTCTGTAGTAATGCATGTAATCATATCAACAAGACAGGATGTGCGCAAAGCAACCGTGATTAAAAGATCTGTTCAGCTCTTTGTAATCATCAATCATCATCAAATGTGATCAAGAACGAGTTTTACAAATTTAAAACGTTTTTGAAACAGTGCATATTTGTAATGAATTATGGTGTTTTTACCATCTTTAATTTATCACCACAGCCACATGTCAGTAGAATTATAAAATTCTAGCAGCAGTGGATATTAGTGTGTATCCTGTCACATTTACCATGCAAAAACAGTGCAAAGTTAAACGTGCTCGCTGTGTGTGTGCATGAACTTTGTAACGACATTGTGTGTGACTCGGTGCAAAAAGGCTTAAATTAATTGGTGTCATCAATCTGGCAACCTGCAGGTGCGTCAAGTCAAAAACAATACAAAGAATACAAACATGAACATAGCTGATCAGGTAACATTAGCCGATCTGGTAACCTGCAAATGTCCAGTCTGTGGAGGAAAAAATCCTGGAAGCAAAACTGAATTTGGTCTGCAATACATAGTTGAACCACTGTGTGTCAATCCTTTATACAGCACATTTAAAAAGAACAGTGTGAACAAATCAAGAGAACCAATCTACAAGTGTGAACACACCCTCAACTCAATCCACTCCAGGTTTTCTCACTCCCCCTAGTGAGAGAAACCCTTTCCAATCAATCACAGAGCAAGTAGAGAAAGCGCAAAATCACACTCAAACGCATTATTTAACTTCCAATAGCATTGCTCACACACTCTAATCTAGAACTGTGAAACAATCAAATTACAAAGCGAGTGTGTTGTGTAGCATTCAATAGAGTAGCATCTGAGCCACAATGCAGATGCATATATTTTCAGTTGGTTTAAAAAAAAAAACATTTGCAGTCATTTTTAATTTGAATGTGTTAATGATGCTTGATTAATATTTACCTACTAATTCGCATTAAGGTCCAAATGCGTATTTTTTCACAATAGCTATCCAAAAGCAAAAAGATAAACATCTTCAGCCAATGTGTTGCTAAGTAAAACAGAAAGAAATCCTCCAAATCCTGTCAATTTGTTACAGTAAACCATCTTGAGCTATGTCTTTTAAACAGAGTAAAGAGTGCAAGTTTAAGTGCAGTGTTTTCCACACACAGCTCTGTCTCAATTCCAAGAATGCAGAGAACAGACTTGCGTTCTTTAGGAGACCAGTCTTCTTACCAGGTTGCCTCAGAAGAACGAACTGGAGACCACGAGAACAGAAACCGCATCCTGGGAGAAATGAAACGCTGCTTTCTTCTCTAGTTCCTCCTAATGAAAAATGAAAATTTAATTTAATTTAATTTAGGGAAACTCCTGAGGTATAGTTATATCTCTGAATTTTAACAATAAATTAATAAAAATGCTGCGCTTCCCACCTCCTTTATACAGCCGCAAAGACAGGGAAATCAAGAACGCATCCTGGAACTTTTAAGCGTCCTTTCTTGCGGTCTTGAGTTTTGGAACTGAACTTTGGCAGTTGATGATGAAGTTAGATTCACTTTTAAAATCACTTTTTTTGTCGCATGAAAGCATGTGCCGTGGGTAAAGGTGTGTTTCAATCCTTCTACCATCGTAAGTAGCCTATATTTCAAACTTGTGGTAAGCACTGGAGTGGATCACAAAGATTATGTCATCATTATAGCAAAGTAAAAAGGGATTAGTTACTTCCCTTAAAGTGAGTAAACCCATCACAATCTGTTAATTACCCTCAACTTATTGAATTATTTTAAGGCAATGGGTTTACTCTGTTCATTTTTTAAGTAAAGTGAACTAATCACTTTCTTTTACTGGTTTGCAGCTGGAAGTGTATCCGCTGTGTAAAACTTATGCTGGAATAGTTGTCGGTTCATTCCGCTGTGGCGACTCCTGATAAATAAGGGAGTAAGCTGAGGGAAAATGAACTAATCACTTTTACAGTGTATTATTAAACTGTGACTGTGTACTTTTGTTAAATTACTTTGCATTTGACTGATCTGTCCTCATCATCAGCTTAAAAATACTCAACACCACCTACTCAAAGATGTTTGTCCTGAATATAAAGGCAGAAATAAAACAAGTAGAAGCTGAAACACTTTCATCCAGACCAGCAATTCATTGATATTACTAAAATTAAAGTAAGAGAAGAATCTGAAATGTTTGTATTTCTTAATCCAGTCATTGTTTTGTTCAAAGTAAATATTTAAATGAAGGTTTGACAGTGCTAGTCGCTTTAAAAAAAAGCAACAAAACGACATAAAACATCAATCCAAACATTTCATTTCTTGTCAACTCTTCCTTGAGTGTACGTAATCTTTCTTTCAACTTCACAGACTGTTATTTATGAATGTGGCAGGTGAATAGCAGTACATCAGAAAAAAACTTAATGGAATCAGCAAACGTTCATGCTGCTGCATCCCAAAATGTCTTGTTGAATAGAGGAGACGAACCAAGCGAAATAGAGAAAGGGTATTTATTTGAGGCTTATTCTGTACATCACATGAAGATAGCAATAAAGAGGCAGCCGATTAGGGACACTGTTGAGGCAGAAAGCACTACTACAATCACGCTACCCGCTAGATTGACCAGAGCTCCCAGTCCAGCTCCAACAATAACCTGAGCCAACTGAACCATACAGGTAAGAGCGGCGCAGTCCATCCCTGTCCCGCGGCCCTCAGGAGCCACTCCATCTCCGCCTAATTTCCTTTGCTCCTGTGACAGAAAGAGAGGCATTGCTTAAAGAACAGCCTGCAATCTGATCAAATCTTGCACTTGCTTTTTCGAGATATCAGAAAGCGTCTGCAGCATGGCTAAAAGTTGTTTCTGAAGATGTGGAGTGACTTTATAATGAGCTGAGAACTGTGGATCTACAGATCTGGAAGTTTTGCAGCAAAAAAAAGTCAAACGCATGAAGTAACATTCCAAGTTGAACTCCTGCAGGCTTTAATGAAAACATCAATTACAAATCAGCCCGAGTTGGGGTGAGGGATTTCGATTTGTAATTCGTTTTTGTGATGTGTAAATGTTTTAATGTCACTGGGATTTAAGATGGAAGCTAAACTAATCAATATCTGAGATACTGTATCTTGAATTAGCAAATGGTGTTGGGTAAACAGCTTGTTTTTTTCTACAGTGGTTACAAAACTCTCGGTTTGTTGTGTAGCAGTGGTGAATCATTATTTATATTTATTTAACCTTCCGCTCATAGATGCTAATCTGATATAAATGACTGCTTAAGTTGGACATTGTTTCTCACCCTTCAATTAAAGTTTATTTGTATGGATCTATACACCATGTTTATACCTTTTGAGAAAATTGATGTTTCCACATTATAAGTAAGAGTACTTTGATTAAAGGGGACCGTGCACTTAAAAATCTCGTTATAATTGTAATTATACATTTTAAACAGTATTAACCCTTTATCAGACAATGTTGTAATTTCATTGCCATTTCCTACAATATCATTTTTAAGTATTGTAATAACCCCCAGTAACACTCCAGGATTTTTTCATTAAGTTTTTCAATGAGTTGCTGTTGCTCAAGTGTTTTCTATTAGGTCATTAAAGTGTGGATTTACTTTACAACCAACATTACAACCAGCATTACAGCCAAAAGCAGAAATGCTTATAAACACACACCACAACATTTACATATACACCAGTCACAGACTATCTGTCTGATCTCACAAGAAAATGTAACTGTAAGAGTTAGAATTGCAGCTTTGCATAATTCATTTGTGATAATAATTTAATTAAAAAGGTTAAAACATGATGAAAATAGATATTGAAAAATAATAAGAATTCATAGTGATTGTACTTTTTAAAATACATTATTTAGTAATTGATACAATTTAAAAACTTTTACATTGGAATTTTTGGCTTTTGACAGTAATACATCATGAGGTCATTAGTTTGTACACTTAGGGCAAATTGCAGTTATGGATGTGGGAAGCAGCCCAATATTTTGACTGAGCTATATCAAGTCTATTGTACCTTTGTTTTTTGTTTGCGTTTCTTCAGTAAACCCTTTTTAAACGAAGATTCGGTCTTACTCACGTTTTATCAAATACTGATTGTTGGAATAGAAGCTACAGAAAGGTTTATATAAGGATGTGCATGAAAGATGAAATCTGAATGCAAACACCAACACTTTTTGTTTGTTTGTTTGTTTTTGTTCTTTCTTTGCATCTGTCTTTAACACTGATAAAATCAGTGAAATCAATGCAAACCTAAGTAATAGAAATCTTGAAGCCCATTTTGTCAAATAGTCAAACTGAACAATAGAGAATACAATCGGAAAAAAACAATTTCTAATATAATATAGTAAAATGTCAGTATAGCCTAAAAGGTTATTTAATGGCATCGATGGATCTATTTTAAAAGTTTGACTTTCACAAAAGGTTTTTTTTACAGGAAAAAAAGTTTGAAAAATAGAGAAAAAAGTTGAACAATAGAGAATACAATCGTTAAAAAAAACTATTTCTAAAATAATATAATAAAATGTCAGTATACCCTTAAAGGTTATTTAATGGCATCTATGGATCCATTTTAAAAGTTTTACTTTCACAAAAGGTTTTTTTTACTGGAAAAAAAGTTAGAAAAATAGAGAAAAAAGTTAAACAATAGAGAATACAATCGTAAAAAAAAACTATTTCTAAAATAATATAATAAAATGTCAGTATACCCTTAAAGGTTATTTAATGGCATCTATGGATCCATTTTAAAAGTTTTACTTTCACAAAAGGTTTTTTGTACTGGAAAAAAGTTTCTTTAAATCAGGGATGCTCAAACTCAGTCCTGGAGGGCCGGTGTCCTACATAGTTTAACTCCCACTTCCTTCAACACACCTGCCTGGAGCTTTCTAGTATACCTAAAAAGAGCTTGATTTGCTGGTTTAGCTGTGTTTAATTGTGGTTGGAACTAAAATATGCAGGAAATTGGTCCTGCAGAAACGAGGCACCCCTGCCTTAGATCATTAAAATGTTCTTCACAAGAAACTTTTTAGAGGGGAAAATTCTTTAGTTGCATCACTAAAACTTAAAAAAAGAGGGCATATTCTGTTTAAAACGACTTGATTTTTCCCATTGACACCGTAAACTGACCTCTTCTGCCTTGTGGTACTCCGAGATGAGGTTGAATGGGATGGTGTAGAGAGTGCTGGACATGACTCCAAACACACAGCACAGTGTCAGTGTGGCCACGATGTTTGGAAACAAGCCGATCAGACCGGTTCCCAAACCAAACATAAAGTAGCCAAGGAAGTACAGTCCCTTCAGGCCAATATATGGCAGAAGCAGCCTCTGCACATCTGGAACGACACATATGGAAATCATTTAAGCGGGCTGTAACAATGGCCTTTAATGCAGAACAAATGGATGAATAGCAACACAGATTAACTGATCATTGGCATTCATATCACTGATAAAACATCTTGACTCATAAAGCTCTCTAAAATGGCTTTCATACTGACACACGTCTTCCAGTGCTAATTAGAATGAAAGTCCATAGAAATTGACTGTGATTTTCTCATAAAAAACAAATGAATAACTCTGGGAAAAAAGTGTATTATCTAATTTCCACCCCAGACTGACTTGGACGGGCAGTGGCAGTAATTGAACAGTCTTCTTTAGTCTGGATGCATTAGAGAGAGGGTGCAGATTTAATAAAGCCAGAAAGAATGAGCAGTTGAGTCATAGCTCAGTATTACTTACATGAATAGAGTGCAGAGGAGACGGCGTTGATGCATAGACCCCAACAGCCCACTTCAACCCCTCTCTCATAGGTGGCATAGGCAGTGGAATTGTGTTCAGCATACGGATTCCCCTTATATACAATCTACAAGAGTACACACATATCCCATAAGATAAAACCATCACATCCTGAGGTGATCCATTGGGCAAATGGGGTAAAAAACACTTGAAAACCTCTCAGCAGACATCTCTGCCTCCATTATGTTACTTAATTGAACTTGCTGGAAAATCACAAGGCAAATAAAAGCAACTCAAAGAAAGCAACATCCAGTGCTCTGCTATCATCTCTGCGGGTTGTTTTGGAGGCCACTGAGAGTGTTATAAGTTTCACCTCAAACTAGCCTTTGATAAAGTTCATGTGTGCTTCCATTCAGGTGAGAAGGTTCAAAGTGTTCTTGAGATGAACGCTAGCTTTCGAGGAAAGGCATGTGCTTTTCTGTTAATGCAAAGGAAAAGCGAGGATCTAATGATTGTCTCTCGAAGCCTATTAGGAGTGTGTCTATTTTGGGCATCAGCTGTGAAATGGTCAGTGGTCACACTAAATGTTTTTCTGCTTTGTTGAGGTCAGCAGTACAACTTTCTTTACACTTTGGCCGCCCACAAGGAGACACACTCATTTATCTCAATTCAACACGACGAGGGGAAAGAAGATAAAGAAAATGCTACCTTTTAGCCACAACTCAAAGCGTCTATTGATCTATTTTTTAGTGCAGGGATTGAAATGCTATTCTTTCAGGAGCGCCAAATTGAAATCTATTGACTTCATGAATAAATTAAACCCATTGTTCATCTGAAAATGAAAATTTGCTGTTTATTTGCTCATTGTCAAAACATTCAAGGTGAAGTTGACTCTTTTTTTTCCCCTTGGCAGAACATGGAGGAAGAGTTCTTGCACCTTTCCCAAAGGCAAATTTAAGAACTTTAAAGGTGCATTTTCAAATTTTTTCAGCATAAATGTGGTAAATTACATAATAACATACATAAATTTACATATCTATGTGTATTTATATATACAGCAAGAAGGTTGCTTGTTATGATTATCAGCAATCTAGCGCTGCAGATCGCTAAGGAACTACAAATCTGCTGGTTTATGGACTACAGATACAGTCATGCAACAGACACACTCACCTGCTCCAAGTCACCATTGATTAGACACTCACAGCTGAAGCTGCTTTTGGACTGATTACTGCTCTATAAATACAGCACACTAACACACAGTTGTTGCTGAGTCTTGTTAAACTGTTTAGTGAACATTACAATGCGTTTTCCTTGCCTTGCCTTCTGCGTTTTTGAACTTTGTTTGTTTTACCCAGTCTGCTTCCTGACTTTTGACCATCTGCCTGTTTTTATTGAAAACGACTCTTGATTGCCAGTAAACATCTGTTTGCTCCTGTGTTAACTGTTGTTTGACTGACCATTTTGCTTATAAACCCTGCGTTTGGATCCTCAACCCCTGTTATCAACATCACTTCACATTACATTGCTAGTTAGAGTCTCCCTGTTTTTACGTGGGTTTCCTCTGGGTGCTCTGGTTTCTCCTTACAGTCCAAAAACATATGGTATAGGTGAATTGAATAAACTAAATTGGCCGTATAGTGGATATGAGAGTGTATGAATGTTTGTTCAGCTTGCAGCTGAAAGGGCATCCACTGTGTAAAACATGTGCTGAATAAGTTGGCGGTTCATTCCGCTGGAGCGACCCCTGATGAATAAAGGGACTAAGCTGAAGGAAAATGAATGAATGAATGAATATATTCATACTTCATCAAATTATATAAGATGCTATTTCACTGTAAAAAATCCCGGTTGTCTTAAATTTAAGCTGAATCAAAGGAAACCTTATGAGTCTATTGAACTTATATTATGTTAAACTGACTTAAAACAGCTTGTGTAACTTATAAAATTAAGTTAGAACATTAACTTAGTTTAATAAGTTACAAAAAGCTAAAATACAGCTGTGCGATTTGGTCTAAAAATAAAAATCTTGATTAAATAAATAATTTAACTTGACAACAATTAATGAACAATTATTTTATTTATTTATAAAAAAATTGCCATCCACAGTTCACTGACAATTTTATTTGCCGTCTAAAGGCATCTGTGGCGCAGCATCCAATCATCATCAATGTACTGTAGTGCAAAGTAAGGCTCAAGAATGAGCCCATCGTCCTACTTGACCCGAGATCAGATGTGGCTGCAAAGTGGCCGCAGAAGTAGAAATTAGCCACAGCCTTTAACAGAGCAGGGTCATGTGACACATAGGAAAAGTAATTGAAATTTTTTTATCGATTTTAAGTTCTGAATGTTGATTTCGATTACTTTTCGATGAATCGTCCAGCACTAAGCTAAAACATATGCTGTCATGACTAATTGATCATTTCATTTCTAGCCACCTATTGGATCTGTTCAGGTTCTACTTGTTATTCTTCCAGCTTCTTCTTTTTCCGCTCTGGGAGTCTATGGCAGCACTATGAACAGTTTTCAGCATTTGCCCATACTTTGGCACACTGATAGAGGACAGTCTGATCTTTAACCACAATAAATTTGGACTCTCTGTCTCAAATTCTTTAGTGCCATCCAAAGTTTCAAATATGTTTATTGTTATAACTTTTGAACCAAATTGGCTACAATCAAAATTTTTTCCTGTGATTCCTTGGTTCAAGCCAATTCAAACATAATTGCCTGTCATGAAATATTTTTCGTTATTTTGAATTTGTCACAAAACCTATTTAAACAAACTCATACTAGGTGGTTTTTCTGATTTGTAACAAAATTTAATCATAACAATATTTCTAAAAATGCTAATAACTTTTAACCTATTTTTTGCCTATTGTTATGAAACTTTTCTTGATATTACCTCAGGTTGTCCTGAGAATATCAATGCCAATTATGCCTTAATTAACTGAACTTCCTGTCTCCCATTTAGTCTTAAGTCAAAAACCTACTTTTTCGAACTCATCCTACATCGTGTGGCTGATTTCCACCCTGTAGTTTGTTGCCTTGCTTGTTTATGATGTGGTGACTGGGCTGCTTGGCCCCGATAATTGCTGCTTGCAGCTATATTTTAGTGTTATTATTGTATTCTATAGTTAAATAAGGATAGTTTTTGATAGCATGATTAACCCAAGCCATACACTGAATTACTGTCATTTACTCTCTTATATTCAGTTTATTTTTAAAATTGTCTTTCATGTAACTCTCATCTTAAAATTATATTAATTTTGATTTCAAAGAGCACAGATAAAAAAAGACAGACCATACATGCACACGTGCAGACTCCAGAGATTTCATTTAATGCAAAGCAAAACTTTTAATTCAAATTAAAATTGAATTCAAATAGTTGATAACTATTTAGTAAGATACATTTTTATAAAACCAAAAAAAAAGTTTTAAGTGAGTAATTTTTTTTCTGAACGGTGACGAGTTTGTAATCCTGCACCAAAAACACGGATAATCACGAAAGATCAAGCCAACTGTTACAGTTTAACTTCAATGTTTGAGGACAGGTGCCTTTTAAAATATACACTATGAGTCTAATTGACCCTTACGATGACTATTAGTAGGCTAGGTCTGCCAGTGTTTAGATTGGTACTCAATTAAACAAACCGTTAAGGAATACATCATTAGGTTATCTGTTATTTTTATTAATCATATTATTTTTTAATATACAGATCAGCATGAAATATTTTCCACAATATAAAGAACAGGCTCCCAAACACTTCTTGTTTTGACATACTTCAAGAGAGAGGTCAAACCCCCCATAACAACTTTGTTATTCACACCTTGTCGGTAGCTGAAGATCACATTTTGTAAATCATTTATGACAACAGTTTCAGCTAAAAATCTGCTTTATGCTCTACTCAAGAAAACAAGTTTTGTGAATGAACTTATGCATGATCAAATGATCAGATCTACTTCAACTTTAGGCATATTCAAATCAACCCTCAAAGCACGTCTGTTTAGCTTTAAATGACTGAATGACATTCAAATAACTGAATGAGCAGTGTGCCACGTCCGACGGACCATACTATTATGTCTTTCTCTTCTTTTTGATTTGTTTTAACACAAGGTAATCTGTATTTAATCATTCTTATTCTTTGTTTTATTTTCTTATACTAGTATTTCTGTTTATTTTATTCTCATTTATGTAAAGCACTTTGAAATCCAATTGTGTATGAAATGTGGTGTATAAATAAACCTGCCTTGTCTTGAATATCAAATCAAAACCAACATTCATGACTTCATATCCAAGGTGTGACAAGTGATGAAATCAGCAAGTCATATAATGACATCAGGAGAGTCAGTATGTGCCCTTTTCCCCTTACAGTTGGGAATGTGCAATCTAAGCACCACTGAAAGATCTGAATTCATTCATTCAATAAATAAATAAAAATAAACAAATCAAAAATACAGAATTTGCTCACCTGCCCCATAAAGTCAGTGAAGAAGAGCATGTTGCAGAGGAAAGCCGTCCAGCCCAACAGATGAGTCATGCAGAGACAGCGGTAATGGCTAGGCATGCTAACCATAGCTGACAGGAGAGATTTCAGGGTCATCCGCTTCTGTACCTGAAACACAGTTGCACACACAGGTTAATAATGCTTTCTGACAGGTTCACAAGCTCAAAACTCAAAGCTTACATTCTCAAGTGCCACACTGAACAATCATCCACCTTGAATGGACACAAGGGTCAAACTGGCCTCATGCATTTTAGCATCGGCTACTTTTTCCTGTGCCTTTGAATATGCTTGCATCTGTAGCCTCGTAACTTTTTGTTAACAAAACCGCAACTTTCAAATAGCAAAAACTTTACTTTAGTTTAGTCATGCCTTTCAAATGTATAATAAAAACAAAATTGTTCTTTTGTTGAAAAAACACTGCTCTCCTGCTTTTTGAACAAACTGAGTAACAAACATTCAAAGGTAGTCTAGAATCCTATACACAATTATAGGCTATATAACAGTCGTGGTATTGGCATTTTAGGGGTATTGACTTCATTAAATGTGACAACAGACATTCAAAGATTAATTCTAAAATTTTAATAAAAGCTTTCAGTGTAAATAATTATATGATATTTTTTTTTTTTTGTAGTCATATTTGAGGGGTCAGAATGAAAGCTGTGGCTAATCTAGTAGGTGCTGCTCGCAAATGACCATCATTGCTCAGCATCAGGTGCACAGCAGCAAAAAGTCTGACAGCGAACTATGACCTTTTTTTAATGACAAATGTCTAATAATACTGCTAATTTACGTTTTTATTTAATTCATGCATATGCAATGAATGTAAGCCTGCTAACTGATCAATTGACAGAATATGTAAACTTAGTTTGTATCTATATAATTCAAAAATAATAATTAAAAGACCGGGTACTGGTCCGAAGAAGGCTCTTGTTTTGAGGGCTACATCATGAGCTCAGATTTGGTTGACCAATCAGAGGAAAATGGGCATTTCAGCACCGCTGAAACGTATATCAAGCTAAAATCTCGTCGTTTTTTTTTTTTATTTGAGCAAATGAAAAAACGAAAAATAGCTGCTTTCATGAATGGAATGAATTTCATGAAATGGATGGAAGATACCCTGATTATGTCAGAACCCAAAGTCAATGTCCGATGTCCAACCTAAAATCCATCAAATATCAATGTCTATTAATGTTATAGTAGATTGATGTTGTGTGAACGTTACCACTATGACGTCTATCAGATGTTGAATTTTGTTTGCCATACCTGAGGAATAAATTGCAATATTTGAAGTCAGCAAGATGTTAGTTTAAGATGTTGGCTCGATGTTGGATTTTGATCACTTTTCAGCAACACTTAAAATCAACCAAATATCATCGTCATTTGAAGTCGTTATTGGACATCAAAATAACATTGTCCTTAGACGTTGGTTAAACATTGAATTTTAGTCACCTGATGTCACGACCTAAATCTACCCTAATTTTAATGTCTTATGAAATTGTGTGCCTGCTGGGTCAAGGTCTTGAAGTGATCAATGCTGAAGAGTAGCGTTCATGCTTTATTGACAACAATGCGTGTTGCTTCAAAGAGCAATATCTGCTAATACCAGTTCTGAAATCAGTCACTTTTTAATTGCCCAATATATGGTGCATATTAAAATAGCAAATGTTATTAAAGGAGCTGTTAGATATGCAGTCACAGTTAACATGATTGGTTGAATAAGAGTTAAATTGACAAGACTATTCAAATTAAAGTGATTTGATCTTGTTAAAAATAAATTCTGCTCTTGTTCCATTAAAATAACAATTAAAACGTTTGTCTTAAATTATTATTAATATTATTTTGAGTGCACAAATAACTGCACAAAATATACTGGGGTACTAGAACGGTAAGAGTACAGACACAGTTTGAAGCTAGTTATTGATAATGTGAAAACTTTCATGTATGTGACAGGATTGTTGATGAAAGACATGATTAAAAATATTAATGCTTCCCACATCCACAAAGAGTTGTTCATTACTGTAATATCTTTAGTGATAACAATCTCCAATCTTGATTTCCTTCTGTTGCTAAAATTGAATCAGAGATGGAAATAATATATTGGCTGGGCAAAGGTTTGAAATGACTGAATGCTTCCTTTTATGAACCGAGCTGAGATTTGTTAAAGGTCTTGTAATAAATAAGGAGATTAAAAGCTTAAAATGAGCTAATATCAGCAATTCATCACTGAAACTTTTTTTTTCCCCCTGAGGAACAAGAACATGACATGCATCACTGAACACTCATAATAATGTGAAAATATGCAATACATGTAAACAGTTACATTTCACTGAGGTACAGAGTAATAAAGCTTTTGTTCATTTCTAATTGTTTTGAATTAGTTTTACTTTAATATTTTAAACATTTTATTGTATATGAATGATGTTAAGTCCTGTTTTGGTGCTTACATTACACAATTCAATTTTAAAAAGCAATTTTATATGAATAGAAAGCATTTAAAAAGCAAATAAATGGTTAACTGTTATGTTTTAAGTTTAAAAAAAAATTTCTACTAATAATTTTTTTAAATTAATTAAAAAGAGATTTCCTTTGTTATTCACTATAAATGATCGCGTGAAAATGAAACAACATACTTATTACAAGTACTTATTAATATAAATAACGGAATATGTTATCGTTCATATTTGAATTATATTTTAAATGATTAAATTAACGAGACACATCTTGAGATGGACATTTAAAAAATGCATTATAATTTCATTTAAAATCATTATATCCAAAACCCCAACCTCATTTTTCTGGTTTTGCATTTTTCTTTAGCCCCTTGTCCTGATTTACCTTTAAAATGCATGAAATGAAGCTGATGTCTTCCACAATTTGAATAAAATTATCCCTGAGGTATTTACTTTACATTTGGCTACATTCGAGACCTTTATCAGTGTAATTAACCATGAGTTATGTCTGTCAGCCCGTGAAACATTTCTAGCATTCCTCCTGTTTGTTAACAAGAACTATACATTTATCGGCCACTTTGTTAGGTACACCTGTCCAACTGCTCGTTAACGCAAATTTCTAATCAGCCAATTACAAGGCAGTAACTTATTGCATTTAGGCACATAAACATGGTCAAGACTGCAGTTCATCAGAAAGGGGAAGAAAAGGGATTTAAGTGACTTTGAATGTGGCATGGTTTTTAGTGCCAGACGGGCTGGTCAGAGTATTTCAGCAACTGCTGATCTACTGGGACTTTCACGCACAACCATTTCTAGAGTTTACAGAGAATGATCAAAAAAAGAGAAAAAATCCAGCAAGCAGCAGTTGTGTGGGTGCAAATGCCTTGCTAATGCCCTTCACACTTTGGGCCCATCAGGTCAACCTACTCATGTATTGTTGCTGACCATGTTCATTCCTTTATGACGCACCATATCGTAAAGCGTGAATTATCTCAGACTGGTTTCTTGAACATGACTATGAGTTCACTTTCAAATGGTCTCTACAGTCACCAGATGTCAATCCAATAGAGCACCTTTGGGATGTGGTGGAACAGGAGATTCTCATCCGGGATGTGCAGCTGACAAATCTGCAACAACTGAGTGATGCTGTCATGTCAATATGGAGCAAAATCTCAGGAATATTTTTAGTACCTTGTTGAATCTATGCCCAGAAGGTTTACGGCAGTTCTGAAGGCTAAAGAAGTCCAACCAAGTACTAGTAAGGTGTACCTTATAAAGTGGTCGTGAGTGTATCTTCCTATATAGGTAAATTGCTATGTATTCAGGCAAAATAAATGATATAAAAGCAGACTGCTTTACCAACATTTGTCAGTTCAATGCTGTTTCTGAACGATGGGTCAATATCAACATCAATTAAAAAAATATTCTTTTGTTGAAACATTTCCAAATTTCTTTTTTGGATGTTTTGCTAACATATTGTATAGATAATGTGATTACGTTAAACATTGTGCCTGGTTGTATTAATCATTTCATTTTATTTCAGTTAATTTTAACACACATTTATTATACAAACTGTGGTCAGACTTTTTTCTTTTCATTTGCATTTAAAGGGACGTGCACAAAAACTGCTTGATTTTATTCACAGTCAAATAGAGGCAAAGTTGACAAGCTGCAATAATTGATTTGCAGGGTATTTTGAGCTGAAACCATACAGATACAGTGGGAGAAATAATGTCAGGTTTTTTTTTTCCTGGGAATAATATCTCTAAAGGAGCTGTTGACAAGGAATGCCAAATTTTAGTAAAATCCCAAACAATACAAATATAAAAAAAAGAAATGTTGAAAAATTTGTTGTGTGTAATTACAACGGAATGACACAAGAAGAAAGAACTGAACTCTTTATTTGTATTTTCTACTGGATTCAAGGTGATTGGCTGAACCATTCTACAGCTTGATTTTCTTTCTCTGAAAGCATCTGAGAGTTTCCTTGGCTGTGTTTTGGATCTTTGTCTTGCTGAAATGTCCACACTAGTTTCATCTTCATCATCCTGGTGATGTAGAGGTTGGTGTGAAGCAGTTAATATTCCTTTACAATAAGTAAGGGCAGAGGGTTGCAGAGGAACTAAGATTTCAGCTGCCTGGGCATTCACTGCCTTTCTACACCTTCCTTTCTTCTTGTGTTTAATACCCTTTCCCAGTATCATTTCATTGTATTACACATAACTTAATTTGTAAAATTATTAGTTTTGTTTTCCTTGCATATGTGGATTTCTTTGGCTGTTACCGTCATCCGGTGAAAAAATTAAAGTCCACAGCACTGGTACACTGTAAACGATTTCTTGTTAAATTAACAGTAAGTTACTGGCAACAATTATCCAGTAGCTGCTGTATTTCATAAAACAGTAACATTACTGTAATACTAATTACTTTAGTATTAGATTTACTGTAAAATGTAATACATCATTTTACTGTTTTCTTTTTATACTGTAACACCAATTACAGTAGTAATACACATACTGCAAAACTGAAAACAGTATTTTACTGTACATTTTTACCATGCAGAACTACGGTATTTTAACGTTACTTTCATTATTACTGTATAGTATTTTACAGTTATTAAATGTTATTTTATTGTATTTAACAGTGCTACTTTATAAT